CATGACCCCTGAATTGCTTCCATGTACTGCTAACGAGTCATTTTTTGCGGGCTCAATATTTCGCGATATTGGTCACACCTGAAGTTCGGGAATAATTCGCCGGTTCTAATGTTCGCGATGGAGTTAAATCTCAGTATAGATTCCAATGTATTTACATTCTACCAACATTGTTCGTGGGACCTATTTTTCGCGAATGGTAGCAATACCACCTAGAACACAATCCCTGCGCGTTTCCTCCTCTAAACGAAATCACTATTCCCTCAGCGCCCCCTAAGTAGCCCGGATGAGCCCCATCGTCTGCAACATCGTCTGCGATATCGTCTGCTTCATCGCCTACTTCAGTGGTTTGTGTAGCTGATAATGAAACAGACGCTCACGCAATGTTTTCAGCTAGAGCATAATAGCACACGGTGAAGTTAGACGTTTACGTGGAGCGTCAATTACACGAGTAAAAATGCCTTACTGCAGTACGAAGGGCTACAAAACCCTTCGCTTGACGCTGGCACTGGACGTAATTTTTGAAGGCGCTGTTTCTACTGCGTTCACTTTTAAGTGGAGAAGGCAGCCAACGCCATAAGTGCGAGAGCTCGAGGTCGCGGCTTTGAAGCATTCTTCCGCAGAACGAGCGCGCGCGCTAGAAATGCACGTCTCAAGGCCCGTTCACACAGTTGCGTTCAGAGCGACCACGACCCTTAAGCGCGAGACGGATGAACGGCAGAATCGTCTGATCCGACGTCCGATCAGACAGTCCGAACGTCGCTCCGAATCACTGCACGCGACAGTTTGAGACACACGCTTCCGACCTTGCATGCGACACGACGATCCGTTCGACTCTGCCCAAGAGATCCAAGCACTCCAGCGGAGGTTCGCGTTCATAGATCTCTGATCCCAGATTGACGGTTTAGCTCGCACGAGCGAAGTTAGGAGCTCGTTCTCGCTAGCGCGTGCATTCTCCGCCGAGGCCATCTATTTCGAATGGGTCAGCGGGATCCACGCGTCCGGCTTCCCGTCGCCAGTCCCGTTTTCTTATTCGTCCCGCCAGACCCAGTACGTCATCATGACGTTCGCGCTAGCTGTGCTGTCATTGGCTGGACGCATCCGACAATCCGTCCCCCAGGCAGCACAAAAATATTGGACCAATAACGGACAAATATCGGTCAAAGTTTTAGGAAATAACGGTCCAATAATGATTTGCACCCCGGCTCCAGATCGGTCCAATAACTTGAACCGATCACGGGGAAAGTTTTGAGACCGATATCGCCAACCGTTTTGTGACCGATGTCGTCAACCGTTTTTCGGCCGTCTTTCGAAACCGTTTTACAGCCGTCTTTCAAAATGTTTTGTGGCCGTTATCGTTGAGCCATTTTGGGACTTAAATGTCTTGTTGAAATACGTAAGAATGCGAATGACGTACTACGACATCAAATGTGAAACTCTTTATTTTCAATGAAAACGGATGCTTCATTTTAGTGGGAATTGGAGATGTCTGACCATCTTCGACTTGGACAAGGGGTATAGGAGCACTGCAAACAAATGTCACTCAATTTTATGGGTAAAAGTTGCGGGTTCCATAGTGCCAGCATGGTTTCCCGTAATCTAGAAACCGAACAGTCTGTTAAAAACAAGGCATATAATTTTTGTAAAATGACGGAACGTCTATATTCCACTTAACAGACAGTTATCCGTTTTCCCATTTTATTGGTAAAAGTTGCTGGTTTTATATTGCCGGCAAGATTTCCGTAATCTAGAAACTGGACAGTCTGTAAAAACAAGGCACATAATTTCGTAAAATGACGGAATGTCTGTAGCTCACTACGGAGGGCTATCCGTAGGAATTATGAAAGCTGTCGGCACTAAATAATGAAGCACTATACCTTTCGGCCTTAGATAAGGCCAAAGTTACGAGCCATCCGTACCACCCGCACCTCCGAGACATCAGGCGACTCCCCTGGAAGGGCTATACCTTTGCCAGGGGTGTCACCTGACATATCGGAGGTGCAGGATTGTTGCGGATGGCTCGTAGCTACGGGCTTCAAGAAGACAGAAAGGACTAGTGCTCCGTTATTTAGTGCAAACAGCTTCCATGTTCAAGCAAGCCGAAGTCACATACAACTCTTGAGGTATGGATTGGTATGGAGAGTTCATAGGCTCTGACATTCAATATACTAACTTGTATAATTTTTTATCCTTACCTAAAACAACAAGAGTTCAACAAGAAAAAGAGCACACAACCTCTACTACTCATTGCCAGGATTTTGTTTGTGTGAGATCAGCTGCTCGTAGAGATGACAGCTGAACAAACGAACCAATTAAGAAGTTTTGCCACAATGCCTTTATTGAAAGAAGGCATGCCTTACTTTAAGTTGGGAGAAACTTTACATTACAGTTGTCCTTGCGCTCGCCATCTAGATGCCCCTCCATGCTTGTGCTTATAGTTGTCCTTCAATTGGAGACCTCTTCGATATCTTCATGGTGCATATAAGAGCAGCCTGAAATAAAGAGCAGAAGAGGATTCGAAATCAATACACAATCACAACAAGCTGTATATGACATACATGGTTAACATCAGCAAGCAACGTGTTTACTACCTAGCCCAGCTCCCCACCTTTCTACTGCACATGATATATAAAACAAACCTCCCATAAATTGAACCAAAGTAAAAACTTGCATTGATTTGAATACCCAACACAACAGGTGCTTGAGAAATAAAACTAGCAAATTAAAATTTGCATAACCATTCAGTGATATTAAGCACAATCAAGTGAGCCATATCTCCTATAGAATATACAGCAGGCTCGCGATAATTCAAACTCTGAGATTTAATACCTCTGGTTAAGTCAAACAAATTTCAAAACTTGGGCTATCCAGCTACGTTTTCAATGTATTCATAAGCCGCTTAATTTGAACGACATTTTCGTGTAATTCATACTTTTTGTTCTCGCGGCCCCGTTGAGCGCACTTCTTTCCGAGCAGCGGTGCACTGCAGAGAAGCAGCACCTGTGAAGCTTGCTTTCACAGGCTTTGTTTTCCTGCGGTGCACTGGTGCTCAGTAAAAAGCACACTCTACAGGGCTAAAGCAGAGCAGAGCCAAGGCCTGAATCAGACGCAGATAGAGGGTTCGACAATCTCTCTTGGCCAACCAGAAGCTGAAAATAATCCCCTAGCTACGGTAGCGAGAAACGGTTTTGATAAGTGCCTAAGAGTTAATTGTAGTAACTCTCCATGGTTGAAAATATGGTGCTTTGCACTGTTTCGATTATGGTTATGCAAGTAGATGTAGGAAACTAATGTTCCGCTTGATTTCTGTCTTGTTCAAATGGAGTCTGACCGCTTCGACGCCTGGTGTACGGATTACGTTGCACACGTTTTTTATATTTTCTATATCTTCCACCGTGATTTTGCATGACCACGATCAAAACATCACTGCACCCCAGTCACTGAGAGTTACTCCGACGAGCTCATTAATTTTGTTTCTCACAACCACTGCCAGGGTGTTATGCACGGCTGCTGGTTGGCCACATACGAATTTGTGAAAATGCTCTGGAACACGCCCAGCCCACCTTAAGCGAAAGGCGTTTCCTCATTTGCCTTCTATACATCCAAATGAATGGTTAAGCTATCTCTATATACGTCTCTGAAGCAGAGGACACATGAGCGGCAAAAACGGGCGCCGCGCGGCAGTTTCCATATCAATTTGCAAGGATGCTGTGATGTGGCGGCATGGCTTTATATCGCAGTGTTCACGCAAGTTGCTATAGAAACTGCAGCACAATGCCCGTTTCCATTACTCATGGGTCCCTGCTTAACAGTCCCTAATAGACAACTTTTTTTTCTGGTTGAACAAACTTAATCTTGTTTTGAAGTGTCATGTGCTGTCTAAACAGTCCCTGATAAACAACATTTTTGAGGGTCGAATAAACTTGTGTCATAAATTTTACCAATGTTTCATGAATGGCATACCAGCCTATGATTAATGGGCCTGTGCAGAGGAAATCATGAAATATCTGTTTTGTATGTGTAGCCATCCATATAGCAAATCATAATTTATCTTGCAACATATTTAGATGAACTTCTGATAATTTGAGCTTTTGATAATTCATGCAAAATTCGTGGCTTCCTGGAATTTGAATTAATTAGTCTACTGTATGTCACATTCAAATTAACGGTCTAGCTTCTTGGGCTTAATTGTGTCTGAACCTTTTCCTTTGACAGTGCATTAAATGTAAAATAGTACAGCAATGTATAAGCTCTAGTTTGTGCACTGGCACAGGCTTGTGCAACTAAGTCAAACTAGCATTAAAGGGAGCTTGAAGCACTTTCTAAGAAATCTGAGTTAGAAGCAGACTTACATAGCATTTTGGCTCGTTAATTCAGTAATTACACTAAACTTGGGCAAAAGTCAACGCAAGCTGCATTTATTTTGAATATGTGCAGCAATTATAGCAGGGCATGCACTGAGCCTTTCTTCCACATGTAACCTGTCCAAAGCTTCGTGACATCATCGTTGGCATCCCCAAGTCAGCCTATTGGCAAGCAAGGGTTGTCGGACCCTGCTAATGACGTCACTTTTGGTAGTCTATCTCCGTTCTTTCGCTCTGCTTTGCTCGGTTTGCCGCAATGAGCGGGGCAACGCCGACATTTTAATTATCGACTACGACGCTGCTACTAGCAAGATTAACAGAAAACTTTGACTTGACTCGGGATCTCTTTGGCTGGGTCTTTGGTGGCTCATGGACTGGGAAGCGCAGTTTGTCGATAAGCGTCCCAGCGTGTCCTTACTTGGCAACATGTGCCGCTTAGCATATCCAGTTCAATTCTAGAAGCCAAACACGGTATCCTGGCAACAGCAGTTAGACCAAGGCGTAATTCAAAGGTAGTCTAGATTGTGTTTACCGTTTATAAATGTCCAGGCACGCCTGTCAATTAGCCCATCCAGAGGCTTTCGGAGATGGTCACGAGAGCCAGCAGGTTGTCTTGGGCAGCTCACTGTCAGCCACTCTGTCCCTCTGTGCACAGTGCCACCTTCATGAGCTCCCACTGAAGAAAAGAAACAATCTGAAAATTGTAATGACTGCAATGACAACCACTCAGAACATCCCAGCAGCAGATGCTACAGCATGGTGTCTGGAATGCACCTCTGCGTTCTAGTATTCTATACCACCCACTCATTAAAGGTGGTCTCTAAGCGACAGCATTAAATGACGCCACAGTAGCCGGCATGTCCTGCTGTCGGATGAGACAACCCGGGCGGTTGGCTGTACAACTTCTGGCAAAAAATATGAGCTAAAGGCAAACGTCATTGCTCTCGCAACATCCAAAATCCTGGCTGCTGCAGCTTCTGTGGACTGTCAAGCTGAGGAATATTCTCTTCCCCGCAGCAGAAACTACCTCAATAGCCATGATGTTCACAGCCTGTAAAAAAAATCCCATGGAAAGTCCATTCAGGAGCAAATGGGTAGCTCTAGAGACAACCTGTTGCACTATGAAACAGTTCCACAAATCTGCCATAAGCAGCACTGCCATAAGCAGCACTGCCATAAGCAGCAGCACTTCATTTAGAGTACAGAAGCATACATTTCGAGATGAAATTGTATCTCTGGATTCTCCCAAGACTATAGTTTCCAAGCAGAGATTTACATTGGCAAGCTGACTGAGTTCCTGAGTAGGAAGGTTTATGTGTCACACCACACGTGTCTTTTGCTGACATTCAGATAAAGGAAGGCTGAATATCCCTGATCGATGGTGATTAGGGTGGAAATCTTCAGGCTTTTGCAATCGCCAACTTCCTCAACATTACCATTTTTCCAGTTCATAGACACCCTGCACGAGGTTGAGTTGGGCATCAATGGTCATTAACAACTGCATGAGTGACCTGCACACATATGTGGCAACTACTGGGTGCATCAAGGAGTGGCCAGGCTCTTTAAATTGACCGGAAAATTTGGTTTCTTAACCTATCGCGCTATGACTTGTGCAGCGTTGCCCACAGATGGTGCACTTTTTTGTAAAATTTGCAAAAAGCAAACTTACCTGACGAAAAAGTAAAGAAAGAAAAAGGCTTAGCTCCTATGGAAATGCGGCAAAGGCAAAGGTTTTCAAACAATACGGCACCATTTCGCACGGGAGACAAGAGATGGCACAAGCGGCCACAATGCCAACTGCGCCAACGAACGAGCATACGGCACCGAAAGCTGGCGTCTTTAGCAGACAATCTTCTCAACTCAAAAGTAGAGTGCATTCCGCAGGCGGCGACAGTCGCAGAAACAAAAACAGGTGCGGTAACAACAAGGAACTGCAAAGCAGATGACATCGGTACTCCGAAAAAAACAGTCAAAATATCCCAACAAACCACTTTTCTAATCGATTATGTGCCCATTAAAAATGTTTTATCAGTAAGGATAATAAAATAATGCATTGGCAACTGATATCAGAAAAGCTCGTGCCACTTTTGAGTCGAAAAGATTGTCTGCTAAAGACGCCAGCTTTCGGCGCCGTATGCTCGTACGTTGGCGCAGTTGGCGTCGTGACCCCTTGCGCCATCTTTTGTCTCTCTAGTGAAACGGCGCCATATTGTTTGAAGGCCTTTGGCTTCGCCGCATTTCCATAGGAGCTAAGCCTTTTTCTTTCTTTACTTTTTCCTCAAATAAGATCGCTCTTTGCAAATTTTACAAAAAAAATGCACCATCCCTGAGCAACGCTGCACAAAGTCGTAGTGTGATAGGTTAAAAAACGGAATCCTGGCCACTCCTTGATACACCCAATATGAAAAAAGCCCAATTCATCCTACTGGTCAAAGTGTTGGCTTACGTCCAAAAACATGGAACGTTGGCAGGTACCTATAGTCGGTGACAGGTCAAGAATGAAGTGAAAGCTCCTCCCACCTCTTTCCCCTTTAGCAGAGCAAACGCTGGAAAGGAGGGCGCCTCCTCTCCAGGGTTCAGTCTGCTATAGTGGAAAAAGGTGGGAGCAGCTTCCACTTCCTTATTGACCTATCACCGACTATAGAATGTGAGAAACCAATGTGGCTTTTATCTTATTCTGGGTTCGCTTTTGTTTTTGAACGTGTTTACCTGTGTGCCTGCATTTCTTGTTTTTTTGTTGTTGTTTTTTTGTACATATGCACGGGCGTATTTCTACCTTCACGACTGACTACATACCTCCCCTCCCCTCACCCCCCCCCCCCCCTGCAATAATGCCTTCGGGCAGTGCAGAATAACCCGAAAGTAAAGAGATGTGAATGTGCCTGCCATGCTCGGCAATCCCAATTCAACTCCCTGAACTGCAATCCTCGTACAAAAGAGATGCACTCTAGCAACTGCGTGGTTGACATGCCAAAGCCCAAACCGAGACCAAAAGAAGTTCAGAACTATGTGGTGCGCTAACACAGAGCCATTTGCACCTGCCTGCCCCCCCCCCCCCCCCCTACCTTTCTTTTTATTGCCACAGAAAGTGGTGTACAAGAAAAGATGGGTTGCTCTTTTGTTCTAACTCAGAAGAGTAAATTGAAGGCTTTAGGAACCGCCAATGCTAATCAAACACTTTTCAGAATGCTTCTTTGTAAAAAAAAAAAGAAAAAGGTCACTCTTTGTTTTTTGTGTTTGCATAATTAACAAGCTCCGCAAATGCAGCTATTCATAATTCCGTGCACAGACCAAGCAAGGGACCATGAACACTTACCAACTATCGTACCTACCAAGTGCTCAACCCCCAGCTCTCTATGATTATCTCCAATTTAGAGTGGGCGTTTGTTCGGTATTTTACAATTTTGTAATGTTGTTTGTTTTGAAAATCAAAATGTGAGATAAATCCAGCAGGGCGCTGTGGAAACAGTGCAAGGGCCCTGTTTCACCTTTTTACAAAGCATCATGTCTCCAATGGCAGTAGAGGAACGGGAGGAGAGCTGATGCGCCTGCAGGCCCTTGCAGTGTTGACAGCTGCCATCCGGACTGGCAGCTCATCGGCAGCTTCTAGTCACCTGCAGTTTTTTCGTCATCATACAGACTTCCTGCAACATCATGAATAAGACTCAGACTGACATTCTGGAACAAAAAAGAAACCAGAACTTGCTTCACGGATCAACAAAAGAACAAGTGCAACATGACGCTTCTCTTGTCGTCGACAGTGCAAAGACCATGACGACACCACCATTAAACTCAACCAAATAAGAAAAATTAACTTCTGCATGAAGTAATTGTATTAAGAACAGTGTGCATGTGGAGCTTAGACACCTACCGGTGCCTTAAAAGATCCCGGGAACTTCAAAACAAATTAAACACCACCTAGAAATAGCACAGCTCGCTTGATAGGCACATGCACAGCAATCAACAAGCCTTTTGACGTGTTCTGTAGTGCTGGGATAGAAATCAAGAATCAACACCGGAGATGTGGTCAAAATACTTTGGGGTAGTACAATGCGCAAGTTTATTCTGAAGCTACTGTTGATTATATTCACCTAAGGTGTTAAAGCTGGTTCGCACTGTCGCAACCGACTATGACCAAGTTGAACAAAACAGGGTGTTAAGTTGCTTACGAATAACATTGCTGCTGCGCAGCACGATCATAAGCTGTCACAAGAGGCTTGAAGACTGGTTTTATCAGACTCAGTCCTAGCGGGTAGCAACAGTGTGGACCAGCCTTTTAGACTAAAATTGTGCCCAGCACTGGATTTTGGACATGGTTCCAAAAATGCTTTAAGAGGCTCCCTTCAACTTTAACAGAACCTCAAGTATTTAAAAGTTGAAGTAGGAAGCCTTCACATTCAAAGCTGGATCTCCTTGATTTGAATGTGTCTCCACTGTACAAGCGAGAGCGCCTGGCAGGTATGGGAGTTGGCTTGTGGCTGTCCCTATTCGCACACCGAGTGTGGATAGTGGTGGATTCTAATCCGCACTCCGAGTGTGAATAATTTTGGATTCTTATCCGCACTCCGAGTGCGGATTGTGTTGGATTCTGATCCGCACTCAAAGTGTGTGAGTAGACTCTAGTGTGAGTGCGGATTGCTTGCGGAGGCGCGGATGCTGTACGGGGGTACTAGGAGATTAGGGTACGAAGGCGTTGTCACGAAGCCGTTGAGTGTGTTGGATTTTATTTATCTGCACTTCGCGTGTGGTGCGATTTTGTCGCGCTGTGAACAGAGTGGTTTAGAAGTTCTCAACTTTGTGTTGTGAATGACACTGGCTTTGAGCCTCGACGAGTTTATAAAAATATTGGTGGTTCTGGTTACAGAATTATAATAATTTCAAGCAAATATTTTTGCTTCTATTAAAACAAAATTAATTAGCATTGGGTGGTGCACTTCAGATTAAACGGTACTCACGCCACGGGGATCGGACACAGGCGATCAATGTATGTGTATGTCGCAGGGGGAGGGAGGGGTTAGGGGAAAGGGGTGGGTATCTTGTACCCCACTCCAAAACTTAGAGAATCCCAAACACATCACCCCACCCCCCCAAAAAAAACGAAAAAAAAAGAAAAAAAGTTCTGGCGATAATTTTTTTTTTGTAGGGTTAAATATTTTTATCGACGAAAGAAAAAATGAAAGCCGCTTACAACTCCCTGTAACGCCGAATTAGAGCGCAGCTCTTGAGGAGGAGGAGGGAAGGGCACGGGGGGGGGTGAACTAACCAGGGGGGGGTCACGTGACCTTGGGGGTCACGTGACCCCCAATGCCGATGATGTCATCACTGACGTCACTGATGACGTCATCCGTGACGATGACGATGCGGGTACCGATGACGTCATTAGTGATGTCACTGATGGCTTCACCAGTGATGATGACGATGACGATGCGAATGTCGGTGACGTCATCAGTGACGTCGCTGATGACGTCATCAGTGATGATGACGATGACGATGCGGATGCCGGTGACGACATCAGTGACGTCACTGATGACGTCATCAGTGATGATGACGATGACGATGCGGATGCCGGTGACGTCGTCAGTGATGATGACGATGACGATGTGGATGCCGGTGACGTCATCAGTGATGATGACGATGACAATGTGGATGCCGGTGACGTCATCAGTGATGATGACGATGACGATGTGGATGCCGGTGACATCAGTGATGATGACGATGACGATGGGGATGCCGGTGACGTCATCAGTGATGATGACGATGACGATGCGGATGCCGGTGACGTCATCAGTGATGATGACGATGACGATGTGGATGCGGGTGACGTCATCAGTGATGATGACGATGACGATGTGGATGCCGGTGACGTCATCAGTGATGATGACGATGACGATGGGGATGCCGGTGACGTCATCAGTGATGATGACGATGACGATGTGGATGCCGGTGACGTCATCAGTAATGATGACGATGACGATGCGGATGCCGGTGACGTCATCAGTGATGATGACGATGACGATGTGGATGCCGGTGACGTCATCAGTGATGATGACGATGACGATGTGGATGCTGGTGACGTCATCAGTGATGATGACGATGACGATGTGGATGCCGGTGACGTCATCAGTGACGATGACGTCATCGGGGGGTCACGCGACATCGGCGGGGGTCACGTGACCTCGGGGGGTCACGTGACCTTGAGGAGGGGGTCACGTGACCTCAAGGGAGTCACGTGACCTCGGGGGGTCACGTGACCCCCCACGAGGTCACGTGACCCCGGCGGGGGGGGCTCGCGCGGTGCATTATGGGACATTTCCCATGATGCACCGCGCGGTTACGCCGACGGCGACGGCGACGGCGACGGCGACGCCGCTCAAGCCGGAAACGGGCCCCTAAGAGCTGCGCTCTAAAAAAAGAAACTAGAGCAGCGTGCAATTTCTGATGTGTATTGTCTTGTGCTTAGGTGATGGGGGCAGTGGCATAGGAAAAGGGGGGGGGGGCTGCAGGAAAATCAGTCATTTCCAGTAAACAATATTATTAAAAAAAAGAACACCCTTTCCTATGCCACTGCCCCCATGACCTCAGCACAAGACTATACACGTCTTCTGAACATTTTCAACACTACTAGATGAGGGAATGCTTGAAAAGTCCCTGGCATGGGCGTACCAACCGGGGGGGCAAGGAATGTGTTTTGCAGCCCCCCCCCCCCCCCCCCCCCCCCTTAAACAGCCGCCACTGGGCAGGGCAAACACTGGCCGGCGGCGCCGAAGGGATACCAAGGGCACCGCCCCCCCCCCCCCCCGGCTCGGGGGGGGGGGGGGGGGGGAGGTGTCGTTTGCCCCCTCACTCAAGAACAAGTTGGTACGCCACTGGTCCCCGGCCATTTGTTACTGTAGATTTTTTTTTAATAGAATGATGTGCACATTTGTAAGTAGACGATAGATGTCATGGCTGTTTGGGTGCGGCAGCAGCGGAAGTTTTGAACATCTGTGTGTGTGTGCGTGGGGGGGGGGGGCGGAAGCAAATTGCATCTTGAAAATTGTTTGCTTGCCGCCCCCCTCCCCCTTCCTACATTACTGCCCCCACCAGGTAAGCACCACAGAATGTTAATGTGCTGACCATGGCAAAGCTTCCGTTATCGGAGTGTGAAAAGGGACAGCCGTGCAAGTTTTCATTGCGAGCTGTCCACTATACAAGCGAGAGCACCTGCCAGGTGTGCGATTTTTACACTGCAACTTTCTTGAGCATTTTAATCAAATCGTATAACCTATATCTTGTAAACACTGATATGGAGAACGCTAAAAAACGAACAAACATCTCAGGGTTTACAAGATGTCGATTAATTACCAGCTCGCCTGCACTCTATCACTTCTTACATATAACCTCTTTCCTCAGCCATGTAAAGTACGTGTGCACCCCCGGGTTCTAGAAGTCACGAATATGACCGGGGTAAACTAAAACGCCATTAAGGCAAACAATAATAATCTTCATTAGCTACAGTAGTAGTACTCTGGGTGGCTCGCAAGGCTAGACCTATATGCAGGGCCCGTAAGGGAGTAAACAAGGGAAGTGACGAGCTTAACAGGGTCCTGTCAACACTTTTAAGCAACTCTAGGCCCGAGCGCCTGAACACCGACGACACGCAGAGCAGGCCGGCGCGGGGCACACGCCGTACGCGAGCGCTACGACGACGCCCAGCTTGCGGCGTGTTCTAACAACCCGCTGAAACCCGCTAAACGCCAGCACCCCAACCGCGCCATCCCGCTGGACGCAGCTCATAAAGCCAGCGCGCGCTGACTGAGATACGTTGTCGCAAGCGTGAGAAAGGACGAGACGACACGTCAAAGTAAAAACCATACAATTCTTCACGCGTGTCGCCGTCCTGAACACATTCAAGGCGTTCGTTCTAAAATCCGTATCCAAGCGTTTGACAGCACAGCTCAGTTTAGCGCGCCTAGCACTTACAGCGTGTCCGAAGATAGCAACGCGAACTTTCGAAACAATCTGATCAGCGTCTCTGCAGTGCTCCGGTATCGCAGAAGAATCACGGGATTCTCAAGATAGCGGCTAGCATTTACGCAAGGCTTGAACGAACAGCCTCCACAAGCGATAGCGATCGTTTCCCGAAGGCAGCCAGCATCCCGTAGAAAGAACTGCGACTCAACACGAAATCGCGCAGACCGCTCAAGCGTGGAAAAAGTTAAATATCATCCGAATTACGGTGGCAACGTAAGCTACGGTGCTCGGAAGATCATCCAGCACATGTAGATGATACTCTTCGGGCATGCATTACGAATATGAAATCGAGAAAACTTACCTAAACAATCATTTGACCGATGCACGTTGAAGGCAGTGTTGCCAGACGGAGAAAAAAAAAAGTCAGCAGATTCATCCCCAAAAAGTCAATAGATTTGCTCAAAAATCAGTAGATTCTACGAAATCTGTGTTTTGACATGTTTTCCTATTTCCATTAAACCACACTTCGAAGAAATAGTATAGAGTAATTGATTTGTGTGGCGATTTCGAGGATTATTCTTTGAAATCGAGACTGGCCCACTTTTGGAATCAACAGATGAGGGCGACAGTGCGGCGGCCGCCTGTCGCTATTTTCGAAACGAAAACAAAACAAGACGTCCCGGCAAGTGCGCGCGTACATGTCCAATGGAAGTCCTCTGCAAGCTGCCATCTTTCCTTACTGGGCTGTGGAAGGTTTCTGACGCAACTCTGTCGGCGCGGAGTACTGTTGAGGCTACGCGTCGTCTGCTACGGGCTTATTTCTTTTTCTCCTGACTGAAAGTTTGCGTTCAAACGTGGAGGAACTTAGTTCGTTAGCTTCTTAAGCCACCGAGAATTAACATTAATTATATCATTTTGTTGCCAGAGCCTGCCAAATAAAAGTAAAGAACCAAGATTTGGATGTCGGTCCCATGCATTCCGCCGGGCGAATTAATGAAAATCGCGGCCCTCTCCGCTCAGCTGGGAGCATATGGCTGGGAACAGCCGAGAGTTCACGCGCATGCGCTCACGCCTCTCGCTCTGCGCCGCAGGCTGATTGGCTCACTTGGGAGGGGGGCGTTACAGCGGCGAGATCATAGACTGGCCAAACTCTCACTATATATGGCTCTGGCCCGGATGTCACCGTCGAACCGTCCAACGTAACGTTGAACCGTCGAACCTGCTTTGGGTGAATAAATAGATGAATATACGGCTAAGTCACTCGAATATAGGACGGGCTTCTGGGCCATCTAGCCAGTGCTTCGTTTTTAATTCTGGGAGAATATGAGTTTCCTTTGATGGCCGGGCGACCCTAGGAACTGATGGTGCCATAATAAATTTTGATATGTTTACAAAAAAAAAAAAAGTCAGTAGATTTTCTTTTTTTTTCAGTGAATCAGGAGACCCGGAACGAAATCAGTAGATCTACTGATAAATCAGTAGACCTGGCAACATTGGTTGAAGGTTCAAACAGGCCTCAACCCCCGGACGGATTCCATAGGGCCAATGGAGTCGAGTTTTGTACAGTAGCGCCGAATTCCTCGTCCGTGGTGGGGGGCTCTCATTACTTGAACGAGTTAACTTATTATTTTATATTCGGTAAATTGTAAAATTATATTAAGAGCTAACCATGCTATTAATAAAATATCTGGCTTACTTTTCAAAACGACTTCTATATGCACGTTTGGGACGTAGTAGTCTACTTTGAAGCCGTTTCTAAGCCAAGCCGTAAAGAATCCAACATGGCGTCTCTTTATTTTTGTAGGGTGGTTCTCGTATGGATCGCTTCGGGGTCGTGCTGGAGCCTGGATCCAGGCTCCTGAGCATCACGCCCGGTCCCGGTAGTGTAATAATAGGGAGTTTTAACAAACCGTGTTCCGCGTATCGCACTATCGGAGCCTTTGAAGCATGCTTTTAAGTGCGCGCCCCGCTGTCACGGTATCACTCCGGGTGCGCGCCTATAAAGCATGTTTCAAAGGCTCCGATAGTGCAGTACGCGGAACACGGTAACAGTTCGCTAAAAGTCCCTAACGTAATATACGATGTGCGATTTCGCTTTCAGCTGTATAAGGTGCGTAGTCATGTGTGTTCGTTGTTCTTCTGTTTCGAGGCGTCCCGCCGTCCAGTAAGGAATCCACAGCTGCGACCGAAATATTTCGAGGCACATTTATTGCACAGATGCTAAAACGGAATTAAGTACAGCACTGCACCTGCATACGCGCAAAAATAAAACATTGGCAAAATCATTTCGTCAACCTCGCCCACAGCTGCAGTTGCACATCGCCAGCACCTCTCTGTCATCTGTGCACGATCTCATCACTTCATTATTACATGCTTGGCCGCACACCTTCTTGGGAATGGGCTTTATCACTATCACTTCTTGGGAATGGTCACTAACATATATCTTTACAAGTGTACACATTGACCCACATAATTACGCATTCAACATGCCAAGTTGGATCAGCTGTTCACTGAAAGTAAAGTTGTTCACTGATTTAAGAAATATAAGCTACTTAGGTGGCCCCCAGCAATCATTACCTTCATTTTACATATTCAAAGCTTCTCACGCAAGCAAGATAAAAATGTGAAATAAAGCTTCGAAAAATGTTGGCACTCAACAGGCTGGATAACTTGGTGGGAACCACGAAGTGTCCGAAGCTTTCTTCCTCCTTGAGACGACGTTCAAATGCTCGTTCTATATGTCCCAGCATCTGTAATGACAATGTGGTCATGATGTTTAAAATTTTAAACTGATTTAAAACAAAACAAATGTCCATCTACAGCGAACAAACTAATGACATAATGCCATTGTCGCACCCGGAACCATGCAGAAATAAATGAAACTTCAAATTAATATATAGGAAGCCTCATTCTTTTGTTTTATTATCCTCCGTCTGTTCGAGGACCGCCAAAGACCATTTTCAAGATTAAACCCAATTGTTACACTTTAAATAAGCAGTTGTGCACAAATCGAAGTGGAGCTAGGTGTATACCATTAACTTCATTAAAACCGTACTTGTTCGGGGGAAAGCATATGTTTTTACTGCGAGAACGAGCCTGCAAACTAACAGCTATGGGCAGCAGAAGTTTAATGGTAAGTTCGCTGAGCAAATAAAACTGAGTACATACTCACCTGCCTTATCTTGAAAAAAAAAAATGAACAAACAAAAACTTGTGGTCTTGGCATTTGCGCTGTTCGTGCACCATCGGGATATGGCCACGTAAAATGCACCTCTCAACAGTCTCTGAAAGTTCGCACCAAAATATCCATCGACAGGCGCGCGGAAAGCCGGAGCGCGAAACCACGCTCGCACGACCCTTGGATAAACAAAACCACGCGACGCCGCCGTCCGCCGGTACGAAGTTTCAAATTTGGGCGAGGGTAGAGCGAAGGGGGGGGGGGGGGGGGGGCAGCGGCGCCTTCCAGGGCACCGGCGAGGCCAGCGGGTCGGTTTAGAGTTTTGGTTTTAGACCGAAAACAGAACGAAGAGAAAGAAATATATAAAATAAATTGCATTTTATTTTCATGGTGCGGTGAAGACGTTTTGTTGAAATTACTGTTAGCGGACAAAGTTTTATATTTGTATTTTTGTATTAATGAGAGCCCCCCACCACCTAAGCGCTGCTGCCGGTGGCGACGCTATGCACAGCGCCGCTGATGGTGGCGACGCTAATGTCAGCGCCGCGAAACTGGGACTGTGACCGGGGGTTGCAGGCCTGTGTCTGCACGGACGGGACGGAATAGAATCCCGACTTCAGAAGCTGCTTGTGGCTTTGGATTAGACTTTGGATTGGCTATGGCTTTGGATCGGACAAATATACGACTGCGGCATATAGTTTCGGTTTCGACCCAACTCAACTGCAGCTTATATTTCGGTGGCCGGTGTTGCTACCATGGCCAGCCATTACTGGAGTTATCTTGTTCTCTACGCAGTTTGAAGTCAATTTTTTGGGCGACCAGACATAATGTCCCAGCTTCTTCTCATGTTATACGTTCCATGATAACCTTTGTTTGCTGACTGAAATCTACGTCAACTTATGTGCAAAAAAGAAAAAAAAGGAACAGGGTGTTCGACATCTTAATTTTACTTGATTTTTTTTTATATGTGAGGATATGCAATATCTTAATTAATTATTGAATATTTGTTTTAAGTTTTTATGTTTTGCTTAAAAATTATTTGTATTTCTATTTTTTTTTTGTCTGAAGTTTTGGTCGAGTTTCGGGGCTCAGTAACAGCGGGTTATTTTGAGATTTTCATACACCAGTGAGGTAGGTAGAGGGGAGGCGGGGGGAGCTGTCAGGGGGGGAGCCCTCTTCCTCCTGCCTCTTTTTCATCCTTATCCCTCCTCCTCCTCCCTCTCGCTTGGTGCATTGTGGGAGACGTCCCATAATGCAACACGCGCGGCACCGCGATGCATTATGGCACGTTTCCCATAATGCACCGCGCGGTTACGCCGACGGCGACGCGTCACGCCGACGCGTTACGGCTACCGTTACGGTCGCCGTCGGCGTAACGCTTTTTCGTTACGCGACGCAAAGGCGTGACGAAAAAGCGTTACGCGACGCTGACGTGTCACGAAAAGCTCTACGCCGACGCATCACGAAAAAGCGTTATGCCGACGCGTTACACGACGCCGAGGTGTCACAAACAAGCGTTACGCCGACGCGTCACGAAAAAGCGTTATGCGGACGCCTTACGCGACGCCAAGGTGTTACGAAAAAGCGTTACGCGACGCCGAGGCCGAGGCGTCCCAAGAAAACGTTATGACGATGCGTTCCACGACGCCTCGGCGTCAACGTAAAGGCTAGCCCACATGGCGCGTTTTTCTCCGCGTCTGCGTCGCGTCTGCGCCTGCGCTTTGACGTCACTTCCGGCGCCGGGACGAAACGCAGCGTTTTTAGGCGCATTCCGGCGTATCTGGAGGAGCCAGATATTTTGCGTCCAGGCGTCGCTTCTCGCGCTGCGTCCAGAAGGCTACAACCAATGAACGGCCGTGTCCACTAGTTGCAAGGAGCGTTTGAATTGTCTCCACTGTTTTCACCACTTTACGACTGTAGTTTTCGCCACAGACCTCGCGACAAAGGCGATAATAATAATAATAATACTTTTTATTTGCACATATTGCGATACCCACTCGGCAGCGTGCGAAGCTAGGCAGAAAGGTTGAGACCCGCAGGTGGGCCTGCTAGCACGCCGCCAAGTATGGAAAAGGATACGGGAGAGGAAAATAAATGAAAACACTCAAAACAGGAAGATACACATACAAAAACGGGTAACAGCCCTGTGCCATTCCAAGGCAGAGAGCACACGCGCACGCACACACGCACACCCGCGCGCGCGGAGTTTACGAAAGT